GATCAGTGAAAGGCAACAATTAGCCAGCAGAATTTTCCATCATGGGAGACCATCGAGACAAGAGCTTGGATAAATTAAGCAAATCGGTTATCTCATAGTCAAAAGCTTTTTTAAAGGCAAACAAGACTACAAATAGGAACTCAGACTGCTGGGCATAATCACCTTCTGAATGTTTAAGGGTTAGAAGAAAACTCTGTCCAGGGACAACACCCCCAGCGCTGCCCACTCCCAGATCCCTGTGCAGTTCCTCCAGCTGAGCTGGCACAGACCCTGCCTGTGACTGGAGGGCACTGGGCCACGTCCCTGGATTATTTACAGGGCTGACGTAGCCATGCAGACACAGATCCACCTCATCCCTGTCACTCTTTGGAGACTGCATAATCATAGCTCAGCCCATGCCAGAGCAACATGAGGAACACCTTCTGTACAGAAGAAATTCTCAAGATTTAAAGTTTTAACACAAGCTAACAAACGCCAGGGATGAAAGAAATCCTGGGATGAAAGATCTCCATGACACCTGCTTTGAATAAAAAGACATTGCTACAAAAATATCACAGACCTGCTGGTCTAGAGCCTTTGCTTCATGTCATTCCCCAGACATCAATTTGCAATAGAGGCACACAAAAGCAGCATTACACAGATTACATGCTACTCCCCTGAACTGCAAACAAAATCCACCCAGCACTACCACCACAGTCCAAAGCACCACGGCACCAAAGCCACTTCCCCTGGCTGTTCCTAAGAAGAATTTGCTAAGGATAAGGGTTCAACACTCATTTGCAGAACTGACGGCTCCTCCCGCAAGCTGCGCTCTGGCTCAGCTTTCCCATGTACTGCCCATTTCTCCTCGTGTCCACAGGCAGGCCAACCCTCTGGCACGGGCAGCAGGACAGGTTTTATTCTCAATTTGTGCACCCTTCAGGCAAACCCCCACGCCTGGATGCTCGAGGCAGTCCGTCATCTTCAGCATCTGTAACTTTGCTGCTTTCTACACAACACAACGCAAGGCAATTTTTTAATGTTTGGTTGTAACGGCACCCAGGAGTCCTAAAGTCAAAAAAAACCAAAAGGCTGAGATCCCATCACGCCTCTCACATCACATACAGGTAAGAAATCAGGTGGGTCCTTGTGCTAGAACAGCTCAGACCCCTGCACTGGTGACACTACAGGTGTGTACGACCAGCTCAGAGAAAAGAGGGAAGAGCAAGGTACCAACAAAACATGGTTTGCTCAGTTTTATGCCACATGGCTCATTTACTCACTGCTGGCAGCATCCACAAAATCAGGCTCGTCAAGCACCTGACTGTATACACAGGTAATGATTATAAAGCCAACTCAAGCGGGGCTAAAAGTACACAAAGATCTAGCATAAAAATAAAAAAGTGCAATCCTCTCCCAGGTGGAAAACAGGACTTTGAACGTAACAGGTGGGTTACATAACAATTATTTTGCTCCCAATTCTCAAAATATATATTTTTAAATACCCTCACAGACCAAAAGCTGTCATTACTGAGAAGCAATAGCAATTTTACTCTGGTAAACACTCAGGCTATCCAAACTCTCTCAGGGCCAAACACAAACTCGGCAACAGCAGCATCAAAGAACCCCCACACAAGGACCAGGCAAGGCCTGCAGCATCCATGGCTCTCCTCCCTGGACTCTGCCCAAGGAAAAGATTATTTCCTAATGCTGCTTTTTGTTTGCAATGGGGCATAAACTTCAAGGGGATGGTTCACTGCTGTGCTGGAGGGAAGCAGCACGGTTGGGTTGTTGCCACAATGGAAAAGCCTTAATATCCAAAAAATGCACCTCGCTTCGATGGTTGGGTTCCACACCCAGGGTCCAACCCGAGCCAGACCCCTTTGTCTGGGATCACTTTCTGCCCGAGCCTGGGGCCTTCTTGGTCCTGCAAGCACATTTGAGTCTTTTCATATATTCCTTTGCAGAGCCAGGAGAAAGATACACACGTGACCCATCACAAAAACATCCACGAGGCCTCAGCATCTCAAAAGAGAAGGACACCACCACGGCACTGCCCCACGCAGACGTACTCCCTGTCCCAGCTAGGGAAGTTAAAACCCACTGGCCACAACCTCTTCTCTTTTTTTCAATCTGAAAGAGACTCCTCAGCATTCAGAACTCAACGTTTAAGTAGGCTGCCAGAGCCTCGCCTCCAAAAGGCAACAGCAAACACAAAAAAAAAAGGAAAAACAAACGCTCAAAAATCCCCCCTCCCCGCCCCCAAAGCTGAGCAGAGGGCGAGGAGCAGAGAGGGAAAGGGGGACGAGGCACACGGGGAAGGCGGCCGGGTGCTCCCCTTCTCTGCCTCCCTTTTATTCCTGCTGAGTGTAGTAACACTTGAACTGGCTCTCTTTATTTGCAGCCGGATACGCGCTTTCAAAGATACTGTACTACTGTGTAGGCCAAGCAGGGACTCTCTTTCTTCCCTTGGTTAGGGCTTTTGGGAAAATAATTATTCACCAGAACTGCCATCGTGAACAGAGCAAGCTAAATCAATGTAGCTTTGTATGGGCCATTGCCACTGCAAAGCAAATACTCCATCAAGACATGGATCAGTGAGAATTTTATCACTAGGAATCCTTATGCACATCTTTGTGTATTTTTAATATCCACCTTATCCCTCCCCACGCTCCTGCACCCCACCCTCCCCACGGATTTGTCTTGTGTCACTGGCAGCTATGGGGCTTGGCCATGAGATTCACATCAGTAAAAACGTCTTAAATACACAGGTTTATTCCCCTTAAAAAAATTAATAAAGCATTGGTGCAGAGCAGATTTATTCACTGAACAGGTTGATTTATTTAACAGACTTGACATACATCAAAACCTACTATAGGCTTACATAATTGTTATCCATTTAGCAGGTCTGGTTCTTTTGTCAAGTATTTGTTTTTCAAAAGTGATTCACTAAAGACTGCTGCCTTCTGCACAGCTCACATACCTTAACAAATGCAGTCTTGCATGGGGTATTAGCTGGAGTGACTTTTAAATTGCATCCTACCTGCCTGAGCGCTGCCGCTATTTTTTTTAGCCTCTGTATTATTCCTTTACTAAACCACACGCACGCACACACACACACAAAAAAAATTAAACAGCAAAGCAAGAGGCAGGAGCGTGTGTAGAGGCACACCGAGCCCCGGCGGCAGCAGCGTGTGCCGCGGGCTCGGTGTTACCGCAGTACCACGCCGCTCCAGCGATGCCAGCAGGTACCTCCGGCGGCACGGCCGAGTACCAGGATGTCGATGGCTGCACGGAGCTGCCGGCGCGGGGCAGGGGCACGAGCAAACCGCCGGGCGGAAACGGGGGGAAAACCTCCGGGAGGATTTCAGCACCACGGAGCCGTTTTGTTTTCCCGCAAGAGGCTCATCGAGGCCTCGGCTCGCACAGGCGCAGCGCTCCCTCCGGCCTCAGCATCCACCCGCGGCTCCCGCGGATACGCACCCATCCTGCGCGGGAGGCGGAACGCGGCGGAGCATCGCCCGCAGCGAACCGATCGCCTCGGCGCTCACCGCGGCCCCTCACGGCTTGCTCGGCTTCATCTCTCGCCCCGCGCATCGCCGCTCGCCTCGGGGCCGGGGAAGGATTTCATTCCCCCCCCTGGCTCCAGCATCCTCCTCGCACACAGACAGCGGGCACATCCCGGGGCTCGGGGATGGCAGCGCCCGGCTGCCGACCGCACGGACCCGGTGCTCCGCCGCCCGCCAGACAGATGGTTAATTACATTCACAGCCGCATTTTGCGCTGGGATAGAGTTTCAGACAATGAGCCAGTTTTATTTGATTAGCCAGTTCTCTAGTTTAACGCGCGCGGTGACAGCTACTCCCAAGGCTGGGGCTTTTTTTTTTTTTTTCCCTTAAATAAAAATAAAAATCCCATCCCCCCTCCTTCATTATGTTTTTGTTCTGGCCGAGGCTGAAGTGAGCGCGGCCCCCGCGGCCGCCGGGGCCCGGCGGGGCGGCGCCCCCGCCCCGCGCCGCACCTGCCCGGGGGGGGACACGGCGCCAAGTTGCCGCCCCCCCCCGTCACCTCAGACCACCCTCGCACACACGCACACCCCGCAACTTCCCCGCAGGCCTCCGCGCAGGCCGGCGCTGCCATCAGCATCCCCTCCTCCTCCGCCTCCTCCGCCCCGCCGCCCCCGCGGTGTGCCGGCGCGGGAGCGGGGGCTGCGCGCGGCCGGAGCTCCGCCGCGGCGGGACTCACCTCGGCGCGGGGCCCGCGATGGAGCGGGGGTCCCCCGCCCGCCGGGCGCTGCCGGTGCTGCGGCTCAGCGCTGCTCCATGCGCCCGGGGCCCGGCGCGCGCAGGTGGACGCGCCCGCCCCCGGCCCCCGCCTCCCGCCGCCGGCCCCCGCCCCCTCCCCCGCCGCCGCCGCCGCCGCCCCACGGACGGGCCCCCCGGCCCCGCGCTCCCTGCGCAGGGACGGGCGGAGCGCGGGAGGGACGATGGGGGGCGGCGGCTCCCGCCTCGCCCCGCCGCCGCTGCCTCCTCCTCCTCCTCCTCCTCCTCGTCGCCGCCGCCCCCCCAGGCCTGAGCCCATTCAGGAGGTGCCGGGCAGCGCCGCCGCTGCCATTGTTCGCCGGGAGCGGGACCCGCGCCCGCCCGCTGCCCGCTCCGCACGCCCGGCCCGGCCCGGCCCGGCCCGGCCCGGCGGGAGCGCGCACCGCGCCCGGCCCGGCCATAACGGGCGCGCGGCCGCCGGGCCGGGCAGGTGCCGAACCGCGGCCGGGGCGGCGGCACCGGCTCCGCGGGCGCGGGGAGGGCCGGGGGCCGCCCGGCGGGGAGGGGACAATGGGGCCGAGCCGCTGTCACCCCCGCGCACGGCTCGGCCGGAGCCCCGAGTGGAGCCCGCTCCCAGCGCGGTCCATCCGGCTTCATTCTCCACAGTGCGTATGGGCATCACCTTAGGGCTTGCAGCGGCTTTTCTGATTTATTTTCACGATCACGTTATTAATAACAGCGTCTAAAACCGTGGTTTACCTTCAGATGCCCATTCCCGGGAGGAGGCTGCCTCATCTCAGGATGGCAGAGGACTCGCCGAGGGAAGGCAGGGACGCACCAGACGCTGCCCTCGGCCGAGCAGGAGGGCGACAAACAGCCAAGGCGGGAGCCAACATCTCCCGAGCCCGTGAGCCGATAAAATCCTCCCTCCAAGCAGGACCCCAGCCCTGTGGCTCTGTGACACCCTCACACGGGCACCGTGGCCGCAGTTTCTGCGCTGGGGACCGGAGGAAACTTCTGTTGTTTCATCTCCTGAGTCAACAGAATGGTTTAGCAAATAGAAGGCAAACCAGACACACCTATTAGCCTTTAGGTTTATTTAAGTTCACTGTGATATTGAAAAGAGGTTTCTAGTCTTACGTTATCGCTTGAGTTGCTTTTTCATCTTAACACATACACTCTAAAAATTGATTAGCTAACTCTGTGGCTAAAATATTAAAGTATCAAGTACTTTAGTCCTTGTTCATACAGCATCAGACACCCCCATCCATGCAGTAATAAAACAGGAACATATGACAACATATGGAATGCTCTCTCAATTCGGAGCACTTTACACATGAACCCTCAGCATTGCAAAATAAGGAACTAATCTCATCTTTTCTTCATTGACAGCAGTACCCAGGATCAGGACATGCCATACATCACATGTGAATAAATTATTCATTCCCACTGTGTCAGGGCACACTCTTGAAGGGGTCCAGAAACTGAGACCAGCAGTAAGTGCTTTGCCCAAGGCCACAGAGTGAGGTGGTGTCAGTTCCTGGGAAGTAGCACTTGCCAGTCCTATCCCAAGTGATGGTTTTCCTCTCCAGCCTCACCACATTGCTGTGGGAATTACACATTCAGTCCCTGTACGTTTCCATGTTTGTAATGCTGCATTTTGTTTCACTACCCCGTCATTTTCTTGGCAGAAAGATTCGAGTAATATAAATAAGTAATTAATCAGGGTCAGGTGAGATGGTGACAGCACACCTGGCAGTGCTCACTAAAATAAACACACAGGTGGATGGTGGTCATGAACTGCTTTCAGAATGAGCTGGGGGCAGGTTTTGCCCTCAGCAACCTCACATAGGGGCTGTGCCCTTGAAAAGTGCCACCAAAGGCACACAAGCAAATTTGGCAGCTCTTCTGCTGAGGCACCTCCCAGGGCAGGAATAACATGGCCAGAAGCACCTGGCAGACCCACCCAGCTGCTGCCAATGCCTTTGGGAAGGTGCCACACTGGAGCTGTGTGCTGGAGGTGATGGCAATCACCTGAGTATAATCACCAAGATAAGATTAGATGTAAACTTGGGGAGGGCCTTGGTGGAGATGAAAAGACACATTCAATTAAGCGAGCCTTGCACCAGGATCCAATTTAGAAAGACAACCCAAGTTTTTATTTAAGTGCTGTATTTTAGAGGGAACACAAACATGAGGCTCAAAGATTATCCTTGGGGCTGTGAAACAACATAATGCCTTTAGTTCCACTTACCCACACCACCCATTGAAGGTCCTTCAGTTACAGAACCACCACAATGGTGATCGGCAGGCAGCATGAAGTTCTGCACAGCATCTTGGGCAATCTGAAAAATTAACAGTCTGTGCACTGTGATCTTTCTGTGTACTGCCACAAACAGATGTGGAAGGGGCAATGACAGGGCACCCTTGGCAGGGTATTCATTTTCCACCTTGGCAGGGTATTAATTTTCCAGGCTGTCGAATAGAGGCTCGCAGGTGTGAGAACAAGGTGCTAAGAAAGCTCCTTTTGGCAGGAAGGGATGACAGCCCCTGAGCCAGGGGTGACAGTGCTGCCAGCCCAGCCCTGCCCCACAGCCCTGCTGTCCTCCTGCCCTCCCTGCAGCTCCTGCTGCAGCCAGCACCGTGATCATTCACTGCAACCTGTACCACGGAGAAGATCAGACATTTACATCTGTCCCAGCCTTCCAGCTGTCTTCACACAGAATCCATGTGCCCAGACATGGATATAAGCCAGGATCCTCTGCCTGCTGGTCTCTCTAGGAAGCAGGAGTCAGTCTAAGATAAAAGAACCTGGGTTATGACAAGAGGAAAATGCCATGGTGGTTTCCAGGTCTCCAAGTGCCCATTTCCTATCATTCCTTCTTTTCTTCATGATTCCTTCTTTTCTACATTCATAGGAGTCTCACTGCAGCACACCCAATATGGGTCGAATCCTTATTTTCTGTGGCCCAACTAATTTCTGCCATACACAGCCCCTCTGCTAAACCATACCAGAGGTAGAGGTCCACCAGGGGATTCTGGTTTGCCCAAGGCACAAGTAGAGCACAGATGGGATTTTCAGATCCCAAATCCTATATTCTTGGGTGAGCCTGGAAAAGCATGGTTCAAGCAAAAAGCTGCCAGATGTTCTGAATCTTACAAACTCAGGGGCAAAGGAAGCAGGGTGGCAGGAGACATCACCCTCCCATCCCATTCCAACACAACCAGCTGGAGAGGATTTCTTCCCCACTCTCGCAGACTTCCAGGACAACTTTGGAAAAAGAACAGTCAAACATAGACCATTGGCAGAATGAGAAGCACTCCAGGAGGCAGGATGGGGTTTTGACTCATGGGGGTAAAGGACTCCCCCCCCCTCCTCCTCTTTCCTTCCCAGGTGTTGGTGTGTGATGTAAAAGCAGCAGTGGGCTGTGGGAAATAGCACTGAGCCAGCAAACAGTCAGTCCTTCTTACTGAATCCAGAGCCATTCCTGAAGAAGAAAGTTGGAATCATGAACTGCACACACTGAATTTCTCCTTTCCTCTCTGGCACACCTGTCAAGCCTTACAGCTTTGGCAGAAAACCATCCCAAAGCACCCAAACCAGCAGTGCAGGCTGAGCCCCCGGCTGCAGACACACTCCCCCTGCATTCCTGGCTGTTTCATGCCCCCTGAGCGCTGTCTCAGAGCAGCTGCAGGAGCAGAGCTGATGTTCAGCCCACACCTTCTCTTTGCCCCCATGTTCCAGACTTACCTCGTAGATGCTCAGGGCCGTCACTGACCGTGTGGGAAGGACAAATTTCCAACGTGCCTGACAGAGCTGCGGAAGGAGCGAAGGTGAGGAGGGTCCCAGAGGAGTTTCCAGGCTTCTCCTTTCCTTGACAGGCTCCAAAGACACCCAGCACTGCCTCGCAAGGCTAAAAACCTCCTTGTTCAAGTCAGGCAGTTCCAGCAGGGTCACAGCCTCTGAGGCTCCCCTGGCCCCACTAAACTGCACTACTAACGGGCTCTGAGCCCCCCAAATCTGTCCCTGTCCATTCCTTCCTTTCTTCCACCTTCCTCCCAACATCTCAATGTGACATTGTAAATTTTCCTTTAAATTGTGCATTTCTCTTACCGCTTTCCATGGCCAAACTCCTCCTTAGTGGTGCCTTCTGAACAGGAGGAAAGGAAAGCTCCCATTTGTGCCTGGGCCAAGGCGAGCGCTCTGTGGACAGAAGGCTTTGTGTGCCCTCGTTCCCTTGGCAGGAGTAACAGCCTCGGCCACTTCAGGGGAGGTGACTGGATTAGCAGGGGAGAAAGGAAAAAACAGGGAAGAAGAAAAGCAACCAGTAAGAGCCAAAAAGTCTCAAGCATGGCCTGGTGTATTTGCAGTGAGCCAGAGCACAGGTTGGAACAAAACCTGGAGAAGGCACAGGGATCAGGACATCCCAGAGTCACAAACTGCTGTGGATTCACTGCAAGTTTGATTTTCTCACAGGCAGTAAATCCATGACTGGCAAGGATGAACTGCTGAGGTGCAGGGCAGTTTCTGGTATGCCAGGGTTCAAAGCCTGCTGCTGCTTTGGCCGAGCTGGCTGGCACCTGGAAGTGCTGGGTGAAGATGGCAGAGCCCAGAGGGCTGGTCAGGACTCTTTGGTATCAGCTGGAATCTCAATTTCTGTTTTGCAACTTCATCCTTCCCATTGCACTGTGGCTCTTCGGGGCAGCTGCACAGACCAGCAGAGTCAAGCCCTGTTTATTGTGGATGGAGCTGTTTCTTGGAGTGTACTATAAATTATTTCCTTTCTTTAGGAAACATGAAACTCCTTGTGCCCAGAGGCACCTTGTGCTTTTCTCTCTTGTTTCAATGCAGAGGAGGCTGCAGTGGTGAGCAGAGCTGGTGGAAGGGGTTGATTTTAATGCCAACAGAGCAGCCACAAAACGTGGCCACAGAGCTCTTACCATTCCCAGAGCTGCTTGGCCAATGTTCAAAAATAAATCCCTCTCACAGAAATCCTAAATTCCTCTGTTCTCTGAAAGGAACGTTCAGGAAATGCCCATTGCCTTTGAGCCCAAACATCCTGGAACTGTTCTCCTGAATCACCAGCACCTCAGTAAGTTCCCTAAGTCGGTTTGCAACTCACCTGGGTAAATTCCAGGAGCTGGTCTCACCTCTGCCTCAGCCTGCACAATCACAGAGGTTCAGCTCTCCTTAAGCCCCATCTAATTATGCAATTTAACTGCAGCAAGAACAACAGCTTTGCTGAATATGCAACAGTCTCCTCATTGTGTTTTGATGTGGGGAGAGAAAAGGAAAAGGCAATTTCGTTTAAAGCTCAGGCATTTCTATGGGGCTGTTCCGAAGTGAAAAAGGCAGAGACCTCTCTCTCTCAGGTGAATCTGGAGTCAGAGGCGTTTTCCTGGTGTGTCTTGGGTGCAGCCACAGCTACCTGAACACAATGGCACAAACCCTGGCGTTTTTCCTGCTCATTTTTCTTCAGGACTGTAGTTCATTAACTCCAGTAACGCAGTTTCATTAATGTGCATTAACCAATGACTTTCCCATTACTGCTGCTGTCTCCAATCAAAGACTCATTTATGGAAAACAAGGGCAGAGGGAACAACATGCTTTGGCAGCTGTAAGATCATACGCCCAGAGCTTTATACCCTCTGTCTTATATTTTTATGTTAAAGTATCACGAGCTATTACCATATTTTTCATTATTATTTGTGGCACTAAATACTGCAGCTCCCAGTGCCAGATGGCAAATATTCAGAATAAAAATAATGCAAGGCCAATCTTAGAAAGACTCAATGTGAGTGTAACAGCATGTATTCATCCTCCTTTCCTAATGCACATGGTTAAAATATTAGCAGACTTAAAATCTGGTTTTCCAATTTAGAGGAGTCACATATTACAGAATGATATGCATGCAT